GAGTGACGCTAGGTAGGTAGTAGGTCGAGTAGTGGGTGATGAGGGTGTTGGTGAGTTGTTTGGGGGTGGGGGTGGGATGGGGGGGGGATACTTTTGCAACCCACTGTATGTCATTCAGTCGGGACCATCAGTCCCACACATCCCACAAGAAGTGGTCTTTATTACTTACGCAGTCCTCTAAATACATCTCCCTCTGCATCAGCGAGAGTTTTGCCCTGCTCCAAGGTGATTATTTTTGCCAGTTCTTTCTGAAATAATCCAGGAATAAAGAGCAGAGAATCAGTTCATCAGATAAATGAGCGTTTAGGTGATGATGTGCACGTGGCGCTCGTAGATTTCCCTACAATATTATCCTTGATAAGCTGCTGGTAGCGCAGGAAGATCTGCTGCCTGTTGAGGATGGACGTCTCGGACCAGGACCGGAACGCTCTGGAGCAGGAATCCACAGCAGCCAGCATCTCTCCCTGAGTGGCTTTGGGAACGCGCCCCACCACCTCATTGGTCGCCTGAAGAGAAGACGGTCCAAAGCGACAGGTTCAGTACTTTCAATCACAGCCTGGACATTTTATCAATATAATCAATCGAAGGAGTTGATCGTTTTCATCTTTGAATTTTCACAAGTTGAGAAACGGATACTTTTTTAATATTATAAATCCAAGTTCTACAGCTGACTCATCTAAATCATAACAGGTTTCGCATGTTTAATTTTTTTCCGCTTGCTTTACAGATTAGGCTTTTGAAAACCAATAATTGTTTCCAAACAGAAATGTTCCCAATCTGCTGTGACAAAATCACACGTTTCTTTACCCAGCTTCTGTGTGCAGGAGTAAATACTCACAGGGTTGTGAATATCCAGCCATTCATTCGAGTTGGACTCAACAAACTTTCCATCAATAAAGAGCTTGGTGGTGGGCTAAAAATAAAAAAAATAAAATAAAAACCACATGATTAATATTCACAGTTACAGAGTTCACAGCTTCAGTGCCATTTATTAACCACTATGACGGGTGCAAAGTTCTCCAGACAGCTTTCATGTGAATGCAGGAGATTCTGTTCACTCAGTTCAAATATTTATTATCAAGACATTTCCAAGCCTAGCTGGAGAATCAACATTCATGAAATATTGAACAATAACTTGATTGCCATTTTTTGAGCTGACTGTTTTAAATTTTAAGTTAACATTAATAAGAAACATTGTCATAATAGTGGGGACAATAATAACAAAGCAAAGAAGCAGAATCTGCATCTTGTCATTAAGGTGAGGACTACTCTGTCAAACTGCGTCGTTTAAAACAACCCCATGATTGTTCTTCTAAACTTTAAAGAGCCTGTTGACGGCTACATCAATTGTTTGTAATAAATATCATGCTTTTTTTGGAAACATTAATAATGCATTGCAAAAAAATAATAAATAAATCACACGGCTTAGATGAACCGTTGCTGATATTCTCATGCGCACTGACAGGAAGTTCAGTTACAGTTCAAGCTGCATGTGAACGGAGCATGGCTACAATGGATGACAACAGAGAAAAATCTGATGTTTCTTTAGATTATTTTGAGTGCCTATCAGAAACAGGAGGAAAACAGAGTTCAAATAATATGGATTCAATAATCACAAAACATTTCCCCGTTTTAAAGAGTTCCTCTTTGATGTCACTTCCTGTTTCAAGCTGGCTGCACCAAGTTCAAAATAAAATATGCCTGTTATGTAACAAAATGGGTAAAATAATGTATATACATTTCTTAAATATTGTGTTTATTTTGCTTTTTGTATTTTGTAGGATATGCACATAACAGAACTTTAATATCACATATAATAAAGAGAAGTTATGTAACTTTTGCCAACTACACCTTTAATTCATACTTTTATTACAATTTCTGAGTTGTTTCCAGGTACAACTTTTCCATGAAACTTCTTAGAAATTGTAAACTAATAATCCTGAAAGACAGGTAACCTAACTAACACAAAAGTATTACAAAACCGTAACAACCCAATTTTTTTTTCCCCCTTAAACCCACGTCTTTGTTTGCAACTTATTAAATAATATATCAGGTAAGAAATAACCTAAAAGGTACTCACTGCAGAACCATACAGACTAGACAAAATGAAATTCATAAAGAATGGAACCGAAATCTGTAAAGTATTGTTCTTATATCAAATAAAGTGTCCTTAAATTATAAATTTGTAAGCCAGATTTGTGACAGGATGCCAACTAGCATGTGCATCTTTGTGAAAGAGACAAGTTAAACTTTAAACTTCCCAGCTATATTTGCGTACCTACAGACTATGACCAGGCTGCTATAGATCAGTCACATAATTCAAGGTTTCACAGGTTCAGCAGATTTGCCTTTTTTTTTGTTTACATTGAATGTAGACCCGCATTTCAGATTTAATAATAAAAAAAATTCAAAAAAACAACTGGAAAAACTACAGTAAAGTCTTCAAACTCAGTCGTTTGATATAGTTCAGAATACCCTGTTTATTTTTTGATTCTATACTTTATAGTGAGAACCTTTAAACACAACAAATCTAGATTAAAACCTGACAAACTTTATCTTATGGCTGTGTTATAAATGGATGTCAGTGAATCTTACCACTGAAGACGAGTAACAAACGCGACCCAGCTGGAAAGGAACCTGGAAAAAACACAGCAGAACCTCATTTAAAAAATAATTATTATTTTAGTGCTTGCAGCCCACGAATAGTCGGAGCCTTGTCTGAATGCTTACATCATAATGTAAAATGCAAAAAAAAAAAGCCAATCTATAGAGTAACTCTGGAAGAACAGGGTGAACGAAGTCCAACGTGTGACTTTAGCCTAACCAGCTTAGCAGCTTAGCCGCTTTAGCTGCATTAGCATCAAACAAAACTCAAAATTCAGTAAATACGAGAGAGAATGTGCTTTACCTTTTTGTTTATCAATGGACGGAAGATAAGTGCTGCCATTGTGGTTTGTCAGTGTGTCTGAATTGCTTTAAAAGCCTTTCTACCGACCCACAGTGAGAAGAACTTCAGCAGCTCCAGATGGTTCAGAAGGACAGGACCGTGGCAGTGCGAAGCTGCGCTTTTACCCGATCTACAACACCAAACTGGAACGGCCATCCATGACACAGACCGATGCAGATGGTTATGTCATTCGCTGATTTCGTTGACTGTGGGCGGGACAAAGATTTGTAACAGCCAATCAATATACGCTATTTTCAAGACGCCCCAAATAACGAGACTCTGATTAATTCTGTCCAAGATGGCAAGTTCAGGTATTTATACATATTTATTTGTTTCGAAAAGTCTGATTTGTAATTTGTTTCTCACCTAAATCAGCGAAGCCAAAACTAAATACAGTACACGCATCTCCTTATTGGGAAAAAACTTTTAAATTCGTTAAATCTCCTTGGTTTGCTCAGTAAGAAGCCGTCTCCATGGCAACGTGTCTACGGTCAACATGGCGTTCTTACAGTGGAACTGTGATCAGGTCGCTGAGTGGATCGAGTCATTAGGGTTTCCTCAATACAAAGTAAGTCCACACTGCTTTAACTAAACCCAGATCTTTACTTTAATTAAACAGATTTCTGTCAGTCTGTAACATTATTTATTCCTGTTGCAGGCTTGTTTCACAGAGAATTTCATCACCGGAAGAAAGCTCATTTATGTAAACTGCAATTACCTGCCAAGACTTGGAATAACAGATTTTAAAGACATGCAGGTAATAAGAATACATAAAAGTCTAAGTCTAAACTGGGAGAGAGGAGGTTGTTTTGTAAATGTTCACATACATTTCAACAAAATCATGTGGCAGCAATAAGCTTGTGTTTAGATGCTGAAACATCAAGGCACATCACTTCTAATAAGATCTTTAAAACCCAATTACTGCAAATCTCAGCGCTCTAAGTGGACCATACGACTCAGATAATTGTGCCAGCTCGGTGCTGTCACACATCCTGTTTGGCACACGTCCTGTGAACGTGTGAAATCCAAATCAAGCTGTTGTAACCCAGCATCACCGTCAAGCACCAGATTACTTATTATAGATTATTACTACATGATGTTTGCCCTTTTCTAAAAAATATCTTCATGAAGTTACAACTAAATTGATTTGAGCTTAGAGATTTAACATAAACTCCTGTTTTACAAGTGTCAACAGATAATGAGGTATTTGGATTTTATTTTTCAGGTTATAATACAAGTTCTTTGACTAAAATTGCTAAAAGATAAAATCCAGCGCCTTCTTACCCCTTGAACTATTCCACATTTTGTCACGTTACGACAAACTTTACAGTATTTTACGGGGATTTTACGTTAAAGATGAGGGGTGTCCAAACTTTTTTATATGAGGGCCACAGCTGACGTGATGAAAGCCTTTGCGATCCACAAAAAAATTGAATTTAAGAATAAGCAAAAGCGTAGATATCTTTTGTGGTAGTTTATTTATTTATTTGTGTCGATTTTTAAACTCGACAGCACGGTGGCACAACTGTAGAGCTGCTGCCTCTCAGTGCGCAGGTCCCTGGTTCAAATCCCGGTCCGGGGGCCTTTCTGGGTGGAGTTTGCATGTTCTCTCCGTGCATGCGTGGGTTTTCTCCAGGTGCTCTGGTTTCCTCCCACAGACCAAAAACATGCATGTTAGGCTAACTGATAACTCCAAAATGTCCCCTAGTTGTGAGTGAGAGAGTGAATGGTTGTTTGTCTCTATGTGTCCCCGTGATGGACTTGCGACCTGTCCAGGGTGTACCCCGCCCCTCGCACAGTGATTGCTGGACATGGGCACTGGTGACCCCCATGACCCAAAATGGAAGAAGCGGATAAAAGATAATGGATGGATGGATGGATGGATGGATGGATGGATGGATGGATGGATGGATGGATGGATGGAACAAACCAGGTTTGTTCCACTTTGGAGTAAGCTGTTGGGGGATGAATCAGTTTTGTGTTGTGGGTTTTCTTGACTGATGAAACCTTCCGGATCGAAGGTGAAACGTTTCAGCACAAAAAAAGAAACTGTCCCGATGACCTGACTGAACAATGTTGAATATTCCAAAACATTACCTTGTAAACATTAACCTTGTATATATTTTTAAAAGGCCCCAAAGTATGCTCAATAATCCAGGTTTAAATCCAACAAAGTTCAGTCAGGTCATCTGGATGGTTTCTTTTTTTGCTGAGATGTTTCGTCCTTAATCCAAAGGACTTATTCAGTCTGAAGAGCCACTATGTTTCCACTAGGGGAGTGTGGTGCTTGTGAGACTGCAGTTTGTTTGTGGCTCCTCTGAATGAAGAAGTCCTTTGGATGAAGGATGAAACGTCTCAGAAAACCCCCCAAAAAGAAACCATCCAGAAGACCTGACTGAACACTGTTGGATTTTTGAAAAATGATTTAATGTTTTTGTTTTTGTTGAGTCTATTGCTTTTTGTTTTAATTTTAATCTATTCTCAGAAGAAAAAAAAGTGTAATATGAGAAACTGTTCCTTAAAAAAAAAAGCACTAAAAAGGGAGTTGATCACTCTTTTGGACCATGGATGGTGAATGAAGTTCTGAAAAATTGTGCAGCTGCAATCGCTAAAACAGATTTATGGAAAGTTTAAACAGTCACTAATAAAACTGATCAGCTTAGATGTAGCTTGTCCCCACTTTATGTTCCTTTAAGAATGCACTAATTCCCTCTATCACTTATTAAATCAATGTAAATGTATTTTCTTGGTAAACACTTGCTATATTTAGTCAAGTTTTGTAAATGATTTTCCAAAAATGTTCTTTTTGATAGTAGTCAGTAAGGGTCTGTGATGCTTTGTACCATGAAATGACAAAAAAAAGGTTTGTATTAAACTTAATTGCTCATTTTGAGATATTTATTTTGTCATCTGGTTTACTGTTAAACCTAAAAGTAATATCCAAAGGATCCAAAGGATATTACTTTTAGGATATTATTTATAAATAATAAATCTGAGCCCTGTGATGGACTTGCGACCCGTCCAGGGTGTACCCCGCCCCTCGCACAGTGATTGCTGGACATGGGCACCAGCGACCCCCGTGACCCAAAATGGAATAAGCGGGTAAAGAAAATGGATGGATGGATGGATAATAAATCTGAAGAAGCTCTACATCTCTGTAGTCTGTGGGCCAAAATGTATTCATTAAATTCCAGTCGTGGGCTGCAAAAAATCCATCCAAGGGCCGCAAATGGCCCTCGGGCCGCACTTTGGACACCCGTGTGTTAGGCCAACACAAAGTGGAGCATAATTCTTATGTGGAAAAGATTATACATGGTTTTCAAAACTTATTTTTAATTATTATTATTTTTTACAAATAAAAATCTGAAAAGTGTGTTGAGCCCTCCTGAGTCAGTAGAACCTCCAAGTCTTTTTAGGTTTGTCTTTGGCTTCACATATTTTTGTCCATTTTTAGTTCGAGCTCAGTCAGATTTGAAGAAGAGCTTCTTTGAACAGCACTTTTCAAGTCTTCTGGCTGATTCTGGACTTTGACTGGACCGTTCTAAAACCTGAAAAGGTTTTGATCTAAACTCTTCATCGTAGCTCTGACTGGATGTTTTGGGCCGTTGTTGTGCTGGAAGGTGAACTTCAAGTCTCAAGGTTTTTACAGGTTTTTCCTGCAGTGTTGCCGTACAGTGAGCTCCAGCCATCTTCTCATAGGCTCCGAGTTTAAAGTAAAAAACCATTTCCACAGCATGAAGCTGCCACCACCACGTTTCACAGAATGGTGCGTTCAGGGCCATGTCAGTTTTCTGCCACACATAGCATTTTGAATTTAGGCCATAAAGTTCAGTTTTTGTCTCATCTCAGCAGACCGTCTTCTTCCACATGTTTGGTTCGTCTCCTTTTAAAAACAAGAATTCTGATGTCTTTCTTTCAACAATTGTCTTGTTGCCACTCTTCCATAAAGGACAGATTTGTGGACAGGACTGATTGTCCCATGTGGATCTCTGCAGCTCCACCAGAGTCAGCACGGGCTTCTTGGCTGCTATATGATTAATGCTCTCCTCGCCCAAATTGCCCATTTTCCTTCTACTTCACAATTACGCACAACTATATCTTAGTCGATTACACGTAAAATACTTTGAAGTGACAAAATGTGCACAAGTTCAGAATATCTTTTGAAGACACCATAACTTCTCTTCCATGTAAACCTTGATGTGCTACCCTCTCTGTAACTCATCCAGACAGTATAACTCCCGCTCTGTCAAAGATCTCGACCCCTGCTGTCCCACAGGTCATCTCCGCTCGTGTCCGTGAGCTGTTGGGGACCGCAGAGACCCCGTGGAGTCGCAGCATCGCCGACCCTCGCCGGAGCAACGTGGCCCTGTTTCTGGAGAGAAAGAGCCGCACGGGCGAGCGTGCGGACCGCCTCACCTACCAGCACTTCCTGAACAATCATGGATCACTGCAGTAAAAGAACAAAGCAAAGCCGTGTCCGTGTCATTTCAAATGTCATGCCGTCAGCGGGCGATGACTGACGAGACACTCGCAGCGTAGGTCACGAGAGGCCTTGACATTAACACGTCCCAGCAGCAACAAGACCCACATTTTTTTATTGATTTCTGCTGCTCCTCAATGTTAAAACCACTTCAAATACTGAGATCAAGATGATGCAGACAACACCAAAGACTGGGTCAGTACCTGAAATGTCCATGTCTATGTGTGTGTCTGTTAGCAAAATATCTCATAAGCCACTAGAAAAAAATGTATTGAAACTTGCAGAAAGTAATCATTGGATAAACCTCTAGAACTGATTAACAACAATACAACCACGGTTATAACTTGGTCATGTTTATTGATACTGACCTGAAATCTGGTGTGGTGGTATCGGAGAAAGATCCGTATGTTCTCAGAACTGATGGATTGCACAAGGTCTTTTTTATTTAGCCATTACCTATTTGGATTCAAATTTGTATTTCTGTTTGCAAAATTACTCATGAACCACTTGACTGATTTTAATGAAACCTTAAATAATCATTGAAGGAACGTCTATAATTGTTTAATGTTTGTAGCCAACCCATTTCAAGATGGCCGCCACAACAAACTAACATTTGAAAACACATTATTGGTCAACAGATATTGGGTTATGTGGTGTGGTAGTAGCTGAGAGTCATTCA